TATCGTTTCTCCACGGGAAAAGATGGGAGGGACATCCATAGCATCTTGCTCAAATTCTCACTTGGCTAAATTTATGGATTCTTCTGGAGGTATAGACTTGGGCTTTTCGGGTCCAAAATTTACCAGGAGTAATAAACAAGGTAGAATTAGCCATGTAATGGAACGTCTTGATAGAGCCATTGCCAACGTGGGATGGTGTTCAATGTTTCCGAAAGCAGCTCTTTCTCATCTACCAGCTGTCTCCTCTGATCACAATCCCGTTTTCCTCAAATTGTTTGGCCAAACGGATGTGGCCCAAAACCGTTTCGTTTCTTTGAAGCATGGACTCGGGATCCTTCTAGCAAGGACATAGTGCAAAAAGCTTGGGATACCTAGGTGGACGGTACTGAGGCATTCCGCTTAGCCAAGAAAATTAAGGAAACGTAGAAAGCGCTCGAAGCCTGGAACAAAGAACACTTTGGAATCTGTCATGACCAGGTGAAAGATCTTATTCAAGAACTCTCTACTATTCAACATTCTTCTTCCGAAGATCATATCCTTGCGAGAGAAAGAGATCTTGAAAGAAGGAATGAAGAGGGATGGACTAGACTTGAGAGTATGTTGCGCCAACGCTCTAGAGTTGTGGCTGGGGGGAGGTGATAAATGTTCTAAATTCTTTTTTGCATCAATAGTGATGCGGAAGAGAAGGAATTATATTGTCATGATCAAGGATTCTAATGGGGTATGGCGATCCTCCTCTAGACAGGGGATAGGGAACTATTTCCTTGAAAACTTTGAAAAGTTGTTTAGAACGTCTAATCCTAGTATTGGGGAGGATTTTTCCTTGTTGTGGGAACATTCTATCTCTAACGAAGAGAACTTGTCGCTTTGTGCTGTCACGACAGAAAAGGAGGTTAAGGATACTTTATGGGCTATGCATCTGTTAAAAGCTCCAGGTCCAGATGGTATGCCGGGAATATTCTTTACTTTCTACTGCAGCATTGTTGGGCCCCAGGTGGTAAGATTTGTCCAAGATTATTTTCAGAATGGTGTGCTACTAAAGGCCATGAATTTTACTAATCTGGTTCTCATCCCAAAATCCGGGGGGGCTGCCACTTTTACGAACTTTCGTCCAATCAGCCTATGCAATGTCACTTACAAGATAATTTCAAAGCTCCTGGCCAATCGATTGAGAACGGTGTTGGATAGGTTGATCTCCCCTTACCAATCAGCCTTCATTCCGGGGAGAAGCATTACAGAAAATGTAGTTATTGCGCAAGAAATCATTCAAAGTCTCGAAAGAAAGAAAGGATGTGGAGGGCTCTTAGGCCTTAAGATTGATATGCATAAGGCCTATGACTCTGTCGAATGGTGTTTTTATTCACAAAGTGTTGGAAGCAGTTGGTTTTTATGAGAAATTTGTGTCGATGGTTATGCAATGTATGTCCACGGTTACTATGTCAATTCTCCTCAATGGCTCTTTGTTTGGAAAATGTCATCCACAACGGGGCCTCCGGCAAGGGGATCCTCTCTCTCCTTTCTTATTTATTCTTGCTATGGAGACTCTTACTTAACTCATTGCTCAAGCGGAGAGTGATGGACGAATCCACGGGATCAAGGTTGCTCGCTCAGCGCCTCCGGTATCTCACCTGATGTTTGCAGATGACTTGTTTCTATTTTGTAGGTCTGATCCAAGGGAAGTCAATGCTTTTAAGGAGGCTCTGGACCTTTATGAATGATGGTCAGGTTTGAGGATGAATGGATATAAGTCAGGATTTGTTTGAGGATGATGGGCTGTAAATCATTGCGCCAGAATGCTAAATATCTGGGTAATTCTCTCTCTCTCTCAGAGAAAAGCTGCTAAGGATTTTGCTTTCCTTAAAGGCAGAGTCCTCTCAAGATTAGAAAGTTGGCAAAGTAGTCTTTTGTCTAAGGCTGGGAAGGCTGTTCTTATTAAATCTGTCGTCCAAGCTATTCCGGCCTACTCTATGAGCTCTTCTAAAATACTATCCAGCATTTGTGGAAATTTGGATAAGCTGACTACACGTTTTTGGTGGACTTTTGGCAAAGCTCCTCTGGGATTATGATGCAAATAAAGAGAAATTGTGGGTCTGCATTCTTTCTTCTAGATATGGAAGATCAGATGATATTGCTTCTTTATCCACTCCAACCAATAGTTCTTCGGTGTTTCGCAGTATGGTCTCGTCCAAAGAAATTATCAGTAAAGGGGCTTGTTTTGTGTTAAATTCTGGTCTCAGCCCTGGCTTCCAGGGAGTAGGGGCTTTATCCCGAAGCCTAAGCCAGGGACAAGTATTGATTCGGAGTCGTACAAACGTATCTGACTTGAAACTTGATGAGGGTTGTTCTTGGAATATCCAGCTTCTGAACCAGTTATGTGAAGAGGAAACTGTTGCTTTGATAAGAAACATCCATTGTGCTAGTCCTAGATTTGGGATTTCTTCTGATGCTTTAGCTACTGCATGGAAGAGGTTGTGGAAATCAAATTTGCATAGTAGACTGGCTTTTTCTGTTAGAGAAGCCAATTCCATGGTGGATTCGGTGGCTAAATGGGCGTTACTGAAGGCCCCAAGATTTCTCCAACTCCTGGACCCCTCTTCCACACCAGTTCTTTATTTTCCTTAATGGCTAGCCTTTTTTTTTTTTTTTTTTTCAATTGTAGGGTACTGGTGTTTCTTCATACCCACTTCCTTGTTGTTGTTGTTGTTTTTTTGTTTTGTGTGTGTGTGTGTGTGTGTGTTCTGGTTTGTGCTGTTTCAATGAAATCTTTTAAAAAAAAAAAAAAAAAAAAAAAAAAAACACAAGCACAAACACGGGAAAGAGGGTGGTGTCATCAGTAATCACCAGATTTAAAATTGTTGATTATTTCTGATGATCACTAGAATTTAATAGCATAAAAGTAAATAAAAACAAGGCAATGACTATATCAGATTCTAATAGATTTAAGACTAACGTATTGGAGATTGAAGTCCACAAACATCCGGTGTGGATTAGTGGTGGTGTTTGAGTTTGAGTAGGCTGAGGAGAAAAATGTGGCCAATGTTTGTAGATGTCAATACAAGGAATTACTGGTGTTTAAAAAGTACTATACCGAAAGGATTAATCTGTATCAGTGCATCGTCTCGACAGTTGTTATGAAAATAGAACATTAAAAAGTGTGTATATATATATATATATATATATATAATGAGGATGATCAGTAGTGTCTAATACCACTACTCATAATAAGTGAGTCTCTCTTAGTATATATATTGATCCTACATATATTTGTAATTATTGAAACTTTAGTTACTATGAGTAGTGGCATCGGACATCACTTGTACCAAATACTAGAATTCATATTTGGCACTTAATTAAGAGTTAATAAAACATATATCTACTCTCTAGAAAACCGCTAATATACACATTGATATGAATTTAGAATATATATATAAATATATATATATGAACGAATTTTTAATGGTCGGTTCCGAGAATGTTGTTTTGTACTTATGTTTATATATGCCGTGCTAACTCATCGCTAATGGTGAGATGTTAGATATATATACATACACATAGAATGCAACTTATCTTAGCAGAATCAAACGACAAATACAGTGGGAAATGGTACTCGAGCTAAAAAAAAAAATTGGTACAGTATAAGGAAATATGGATAATTTCTCAAGAGCACGTACAGAGTGCTTAAATACTGAACGCACATGAAAATTTTGTTACGGGAACTTCCTCTGGATAATAGATAATATACCTTTTATTTTTTATAATACTTTTAATATATCTACAAGTATAAGATCTTATACTTGTAGTATTAAGAGTGACTAGATAGTGAGGTGGTTTGTATGGATTTTGGAATGAAGTTCCCTCTCCAATTTATTTTGTCTCTTCTTGAATTGACTCTCATTTTAGTACCCTTATCAACAGACATTAATGATATTGATAATCATTTCCTTATCATTAAACAGGAAAATGAAAAATATAATCATATAGAATAGCATATGAAAATTAGCTAATAGCTAATTGTCCCTCAAAAAAAAAAAAAAAGGAAAAAGACAATCTTATTAGCTTGATGATCATCAAATCGAAATATTTGCTAAAGTACATGACAACTATGGAAAATTAGAAGTTTTATATGGTGGAGTATCACCACTGACAATGCATGTCTCTTCCTTAGTTCCGATCAAATTTATATCAAAATGAAAAGGTACGTGAAACTAACGGAATATGATACTAGAGTCCTATACCGGTATGTTTTTGTTTATATACTACTATTAGAATTCTTAAATATTAAAATTGTTGTCAAATTTGTACTTATTTTAGGATGTGGTATATTAAAGTAATATTAACATATTTAATTATTCACGACGTGGGTATGTCTGCTTAAACAAATTTAGTCCACAGATCAAACATGTTCTATATATTAAATGAAACATTGTATCGGGGACTATTAGCTATAGATTAGGGGCCGGATAATTCCTTCAAAACCCCACAACATCAGAGAAGAACAATATATATAATATTAGGCATGTATTATCGGACAAAAAACCCTGGTGGTTGCTTTCTGTAAGATTTTGGTTTTGTAGTCTTTGTTTGATCTATCCTAATCATTGCGTAGATGACTAAGAAATCAATTAGTAAATCTAAAAATTGTTTCTGGTCTGGTCACTAGCCACGCATAATTAATCATGATTAGGGTGGAATCGAAACATGTATATACACACACACATATATCTCTTTAATTCTTTATCACATAGTGATTGTACTGATTTTGCATATTAATAGAAAAGAAAGCGTAGGACTTAAGATATATAATTATTATAACTAATAAAAAGACAAAATTTAACTCTTATCACTGGAGGTTTCTGAATTCTGACCAAATAAACTATTTCAAAATTAAGGAAGAATAGTAGCTAGAGTAGAGATTCAAGCAAAAAAGACAAAAAAAAAAAAAAAAAATTAGCTAAGGGAAAGATTAAAAAAAAAAAAAAAAAAAAAAAAAAAAAAAAAAGCGCATGTGAGAGAGAGAGAGAGAGTCAAAAGTGATCGTCTCGATCTATGAGTTCATTGTTGAAGAATTCCTCTAATAAGCTCATGAACATCGGCAATATCTGAACTATCCAACAGTTGAGAAAGTCTTTCACTGAGGCTGCCCACTTCCCTACGCAGCTTCTTTATGTAATTGCAAGTTTCTTCCAAAATCGTTGATGCTGCTACCTACATTTTATATGTATAGTTATAATCCATGTATATACATATATATATATATGTATATTGTATATGCACCTTGATAAATTGGCTCAAATCCAAACAAGATTTTTCTTTCATGAAGTAAAGTTATATAACTACTCAAGCTAAATCCCCATCTACATGCACATAAGCAGACAGTCACAACAATTTTGTCACATTCATATTTCCCTAAAAAAGGTTCCATATATATGAGTGTTTGTGTACACACTATATATATATATATATATATATATATGTAATTATATAACCTGCAATATGAAATAATGGTGCAATGAAGTACCGTTAATCATCAAACAGTATTCACGTGAATGAACTGCAAAAACCTAAACGAATAACTGCATTGTTCCCATTTTACATATGAGGCACAAAACGAGGGTTTTCTAAAGAAAACTATGCATGTGTGTTTGTGTGTGTAATATGGGTGTATTTTAAGCACAAGATCATTAGACTGTCGAGGACAATGAGGTAGCTCATGTAAAATTCTCTTTTGACAAGTGCACAATTTCTCGCTTCATGACATGAAACAAAGTCAACAACAACACCACATATATTTTACCAAGAAAAATACATTAATCATATTTGACACAACAAGACATCATGAATAATAAAAATGAAACAAAGAATTAATGCAAGTTATAAATTAGTTATAATAATAAATCTCTTGATCATGATCGATCTATACCGTTGTAGTGCTGCGCTGTTGATTAAGCAGATCAGGCAACAAAGCTTGTAGCTTCAAGATAAGCTCATTGATCTCCTCATCAGTGGGTTTGAAAGATGATCTTGATGAACTTCTGTTTGACATGATGATCCAGGAGTTATATTGTTAATAATAATAATAATAATATTATTATTATTATTATTCTAACTGGGGTTTTCCAAATTCCCTTGGTTTGTGCCTTTGTACTACTACTACTTCTTCTATAACATTGTCTACCGTTGCTGGGAAAGTGGGAGAAGTAGAAGTTGGAGGAGAAAAGAGACTGCTTATAACGATAACAATTTAGTTGGAAAACGACGTTCAGAGGAGACATTAATGGTATTGATTAGTCCCATTCAAACCCCACATGTACGACAATCTCTTGAGCACTATGAGGTCCTACAATTTCACTCATCAAAGTAGGGTCCAAAGGCCCTAATAAATTCTTGAAAATGGCCTATCACCTTATCAAGCGCTTCACAAGAAATTAAGGGCACCTTTTACGCCACTTGTCCCTCACTCGTAGGTTGGAAAATGTTACAAAGAGCTTTAATTTGTTTATTTAATTATTTATTTTGTAAATATAGCATTAGCTTATTAGAGATGTTTACGTGCTACCCAAAAGATACTTAATTTGTCTTTGTTTGATTAGGGCTGATTGGGAGCACAGTTCTTCTCTTTTGTCCGTTGCACTGCCCATTTTATCATTTTTTTTTTCTCGTTCTGTATTAGTCCATCAGAATAATGTTAAGGATACCAACTTTACTAGTAACTTTTTATAACAACTTTTAATTGTTAACTTTTCTAGCAAATGCAATCTTTTTATTATTAATTTATAATGTGACAATCTCTGAAGCAACAATGATAATTTAGGATTGATATAATAAATTGTGATTAAGTTGGTGTCCCTAATATTATACCTGATTCGCTTTGCCTGTTTTTAAATGGAAAAAATTGTTTTTTTTGCTCTATATTTGAAAAGAATTGAGGCCATTTCCTATTGGCCCTTCAAAATATATTTATGATTATGTCTGAAATGGGTTAGCACCCTTTAGTGTAAAAAAAAAAAGAAAAAGAAATTTGGATAGCACCTTGAGAAGGGATGACAATTAATAGAAAATTGATCTAACTTGATACATTCCCTTTAAGTTTTGCCAATTTTGTGCCATATTCAAAGTTTAGAACTTTGGCTGTGCTATATCTTCTTATACATACACTGGTGCACACAAAGACATCATACATATAGTCATATACATATATACACATGTATGGACGAATTTTTAATAATTACATTTTCATTTATAATTATCATTAAATATAAAAATTTAATGACATAGTGTGATAAAAATCAAGTTTCATTAATTGTCATAAATTTTTTTAATCAACTATCTAATTTATTATAATTGTCAGATTAATATTTTACGGTTAAAATAATAATAGTCATCGATAGATGTTTATGCGAGTAACCCTTAAAACCACACTCATATATATGTATATGTACAACATAACATGTATATTTATATATGTATATGTAGAATATAGTCTAAGTTTAGAACTCTGATTGAATTAATGAAGGCCACGACGAAAAGTGTTAATTTATAATGAATAGGCGACAATGTTGCATATTTTATGAGCTGAGGGTTATCGATCGGTCTATTATTCAAAGAGCAAACTCTTCATTTATAGCTGAGGTTGTAACTACTACCTAATGAAGGTTTTCACACTAAGACTATAAATAATGAAAACAAATTATATTAAGAATACTCGTGATGGATTATGTTATTTTTAATGGATGTATGTTCAGACCACTTTGTTAAAAGAAATAAAAATACATAAAAATAAGGAGTTCAAATAGCTTTTACAATAAAAAAAATAAACATACAATGAGTTAGATCTTTTTAAAAAAAAATTAGAAGGATTTACCGTACGTTAGAGAGCATAAAATGATTTTCTGTTAATGTTTTTTTTATTACTATTACTGTTGCATTATTATTTGAGTTTGAGAGTGAAATAAACGATCTTAATTTAAGAATTTTAACATAAAAAAAATGAGTATAAGACTATTTTTAGACTAATCCTGCAATCACCACTATTTCATATCCTTTCAGTCCATGAAATCAAATCATTCGATCAGTTAAAAAGATAAATTTTCCTTGATAAGTAAATAATAGGCAGAAATTCCTGATTTAGGTTTAGTAAAATTAGAGCCGGGACCGAAGAATATATATTCTTGCAGTAACACTTTCAGAGCAAATTATTTACCAATTACCACTTTTCTAAACCTGTTTTAATCACCCTCTCTCTCTCTCTCTCTCTCTCTCTCTTCCCTCTATAATAAGACAACAATTATCAAAACCATCCAAATTTGCAGTATCATTTTAATTTATGAGCAATCACATCAGCTTGAATATAGCTATACACTCCAATCTTAGTCTTAATTGTTACATTGTTTATCTAAATTATTTCAAAACCTTAAAAATTGAAGCAACTCGATATCTCTATTATTTTTTTCTTCAATTGCGGGTAAGCACGAAATTAATATGCAGCTACAAATTGAGGTGATCAAATGATCTTACAATATTATCGTTTCACATTAATATTCATGATCAAGCAACGACAATAATGTTACAATCCCGAATTTTAATGTCTTTGGTGTTCAAATCCTTGTACTACCTAAAAGAAAGTAATTGGCACAGAGTATTTTCATGCTACAAAGCTAATAATCAAAGTTAGAATCATAGACTTTGATTGTCTACTTATGAAGTAGAGTAATACATGTTTATATGACAGTGTTGCGTCAACACTATTACATGACAAAGTAAAACGTCGGCTCAGAGAGAGTGAGTCTTGCACCCAACCGAAACCCTGATGTGACAAAACATAAGCAAGAAAAGGCCAAAGGACTGAGCCGTATAAACAAGACATGCGCGTGAAGTAGGCGAACTGAAGTCGGTAATAACAATAAAGAGCTTTGGTTAAGGGCAAAAAAAAGCCAAATAATTGTGGTCTTTGGCCTTATTTACCAACCCTTCTCAATTTGGCACCTAAATTTCCGGTAGCTATGTCCCCAGAAACGACATCCTCTAAATGAGCGGCACGTGGCACGTGGCACGCCAAGAATTAGTAAATGGAGAGTACTGCTATGATGTGGACAATCCCACAATTAGTCTTCACACTAGATTAGACTTCCCCACTACTAGACTCCATAGAGAAGAGGGGTCTGTCTGTGTCTTTGGAACCAAAATTATCGACCACAAACAAGCAAGTTGTACTCGTTAATGACCCATAACGTACCATGGTTTTTTAATGTGAATATATATATATATATATTATAGATTATGTATACAGTGCTACCTAGTACATGGTGAAACATACATTGATTCATATACTCAAAATCGAACATTAGCTAGTACATGATGAAATATTATGCCGTTTGTTTTATATATTTAAATTTAAATTATTAATTTTCTTCTCATAAAAATTTTAAATTTTAAACTTTAAAATTACGAATCATAATTTGAGTATATTTTTCAAACGGACCCTAAGAAAAAATGTGTGCCTCAACAATAATAAACAATCAGATGATTGATAGAGAAGAGATCATGATTCATCATTTCCAGGTTTTTAAAAGATCAATGTCGATTTGCATGTTGAAGAACCGAAATTGTTAAGAAGCAATTAAACAAACAGGAAATTGGAGAGACATCGGATCTATTTAGGTCTTTTTTTTCTAAAAAAAGAAAAAAAAAAGAATTAATCATATCTTTATGAAATTGAAGATTATCCATATCTTTATGAAATTGAACATTATCTAGTCTATCGCAAATAATAAGATCGGAATATGACCAATATGTTAAAAATAACGGTCGTTAAAGCTATTGTATTCTACAAATGATCATAGAGGACTAATCATTCTTTGCACGATCAAGAAATAGATGGCGTGCACGCAACTCCACAAGAAATACAGAGTAGAGGACCATCGAAAGTACCTCCAGATTATAATGTCTTTTAAAATACCCCCCACCACATATCAGTTGGCTCTTCTTGATGATACATAGACATATCTTCGGCAAAACTCGACCTTTGACAGCATAAAAACTCTCTATTTGAACCTCAGAAGCCTTGCATTTGAAAATAAATGAATAAATAATGCTTGAGACACCAACTTAAATTTCAATTTTTATGTACCAACAGATGTGACATGTGAATTTTTATTTTTATATTAGTACAGTTTAAAACATTGTCATATCAATTAATGAAAGTGATTGCATCTATCAATAAAAAGATTACAACTCACATGTCGCATAAGTTGGTACACAAAAGTTAGGATTTGAGTTAGTGTATATCAAAAAAATGAAATGAATAACAACAACCAAACAAAATCACTACTCACCAAAGATCTAAGGAGAAAGGAGAAGGTGTCTTAGGGCTGGTTTCACAAATCAGATTGGGTTTAATTAGTTTGGAAAAAACATAAACGATAATTAATTAGCTTAGATTTCTTTCGTAAAAAGGGTGTATATGCAAGTATTTAATTTACAGTTTTACTACTCTCTTGGGTGCTAAAAAGCTACAAGTCTATCGAGAATTCACTTCAAGAGAATCACCCTTTCCTCTAAGTGAAGCAAGCAAATCATAACATGTGCTAATGTTGGTCAACTTCAAGCATGGTCCAAACATAGGTTTAGGGATTTTTTTTTTAATTTTTTTTATAGGACAAAACAATCAATACGAAAACCAACTAGACATTAGGACAGTTCACACACTTGTTTGATGGCACCTATTCTACAAGATTGGCAATTGCACGTTTTACAAAACACATTATTGTGATTGCCTTTTCCCTTCAGTTTGTTAAAGCAAAGTGTTAAACGACAAAGACAAACCTCAAGTGACATTAATAGATCTTTGTGGTCCAACTTTTTAACTTATTTTTGTACTCTCAAAAGCTAAATTTGATGCTGTCAGTGAAGACGATAACAGTGTCTCCCTCTTGCACTACTATGTGTATCTAGCATGGCTGTGTCTATGTCTAGTTGCCTTCAACAGAAGGAACGCGATAAACGACAACTTGTGTCATGTCGTTGAATAGGGATCCAAATTTGGGCTGCAGAAAAAGATACAAATGAATCATGTGCACATGACATGAGTACTGAAGGAACATATATAATAGGATCTCGAAAGATATGATCTTTAGGAAAAAGACAATTTTTCTGTTTTCTTAATAAGCTATGTATCCTGATCAATC